TGTTCAGGGTTATTGCTGGCCCTAACACTTGCTGGAGGTTTCTGCTGGCCCTAACACTTGGGAAAGGGGGGGGGTTCTTTCTGGTTCTGACACTTGATTGGGGTTATTGCTGGCCCTGACACTTGCTGGGGGTTCTTGCTGTCCCTGACACTTGCCGGGGATTCTTGCTGTCCCTGATACTTGCCGGGGTTCTTGCTGGTTCTAAAACATGCTAGGGGTTCTTGCTGGTCCTGACTCATGCTGTTTTTTTTTGCTGGCCCTGACATTTGCTGGGGGTTCTTTTTGGCCTTGACATTTGCTGGGGGTTCTTGATTGCCATGACATTTGCTGGGGGTTATTGCTGGTTCTGACAGTTGCTCGGGGTTTTTCGCTAGCCCTGACACTTTCTGGGGGTTCTTTCTGGCCCGGACTCTTGCTGGGCGTTTTTTTGCGGTCCCGGACACTTGCTGGGGGCTCTTGTTGGCTATAACATTTGCTCAGGGTTATTGCTGGTTCTGACACTTGCTGAGGGTTCTTTCTGTCCTTGACACTTGCTGAGGGTTCTTTCTGTCCCTGACATTTGCTGGGGGGTTCTTGTTGGTTCTGACACTTGCTGGGGGTTATTGCTGTCCCTGCCATTTGCTGGGGATTTTTGCAGTCCCTGACATTTGCAGGGGGTTATTGCTGGTCCTGACACTTGCTGGGGGTTCTTGCTGGTTCTGACACTTACTGAGGGTTCTTGCTGGTTCTGACACTTGCTGAGGGTTCTTGCTGTCCCTGACACTTGCTGGGGGTTCTTGTTGGCTTTGACACTTGCTGGGGGTTATTGCTGGCCCTGGCACATGCTGGGGGTTCTTGCTGGTCCTGATACTTGCTGGGGGTTATTGCTGGCCCTGGCTCATGCTGGGGGTTCTTGCTGGTCCTGACACTTGCTGGGGATTCTTGTTGGCCTTGACACTTGCTGGGGGTTATTGCTGGCCCTGGCACTTGCTGGGGGTTCTTGCTGGTCCTGACACTTGCTGGAGGTTATTGCTGGCCCTGGCACTTGCTGAGGGTTCTTGCTGTCCCTGACACTTGCTGGGGGTTATTGCTGGCCCTGACTTTTGCTGGGGGTTATTGCTGGCCCTGACTTTTGCTGGGGGTTATTGCCAGCCTTGACACCTGCTGGGGGTTATTGCTGGCACTGGCACATGCCGGGGGTTCTTGCTGTCCCTGACACTTGCCAGGGGTTCTTGCTGTCCCTGACACTTGCCGGGGGTTCTTGCTGGTTCTAAAACATGCTAGGGGTTCTTGCTGGCCCTGACATTTGCTGGGAGTTCTTAATGGCCCTGACTTTTGCTGGGGGTTCTTGTTTGCCATGACATTTGCTGGGGGTTATTGCTGGTTCTGACAGTTGCTCGGGGTTTTTGCTAGCCCTGACACTTTCTGGGGGTTCTTTCTGGCCCTGACTCTTGCTGGGGTTTTTTTGCGGTCCTGGACACTTGCTGGGGGTTCTTGTTGGCCATGACATTTGCTCAGGGTTATTGCTGGTTCTGACACTTGCTGAGGGTTCTTTCTGTCCTTGACACTTGCTGAGGGTTCTTTCTGTCCCTGACACTTGCTGGGGGTTCTTGTTGGTTCTGACACTTGCTGGGGGTTATTGCTGTCCCTGACATTTGCTGTGGATTTTTGCAGTCCCTGACATTTGCAGGGGGTTATTGCTGGTCCTGACTCTTGCTGGGGGTTCTTGCTGGTTCTGACACTTGCTGAGGGTTCTTGCTGTCCCTGACACTTGCTGTGGGTTCTTGTTGGCCTTGACACTTGCTGGGGGTTATTGCTGGCCACGGCACATGCTGGGGGTTCTTGCTGGTCCTGACACTTGCTGGGGGTTCTTGTTGGCCTTGACACTTGCTGGGGGTTATTGCTGGCCCTGGCACTTGCTGGGGGTTCTTGCTGGTCCTGACACTTGCTGGGGGTTATTGCTGGCCCTGGCACTTGCTGGGGGTTATTGCTGGCCCTGACACTTGCTGAGGGTTCATTCTGTCCCTGACACTTGCTGGGGGTTCTTGTTGGTTCTGACACTTGCTGGGGGTTATTGCTGTCCCTGACATTTGCTGGGGATTTTTGCAGTCCCTGACATGGATTTGCAGGGGGTTATTGCTGGTCCTGACTCTTGCTGGGGGTTCTTGCTGGTTCTGACACTTGCTGAGGGTTCTTGCTGTCCCTGACTCTTGCTGGGGGTTCTTGTTGGCCTTGACACTTGCTGGGAATTATTTGCTGGCCCTGGCACATGCTGGGGGTTCTTGCTGGTCCTGACACTTGCTGGGGGTTATTGCCAGCCTTGACACCTGCTGGGGGGTTATTGCTGGCCCTGGCACATGCTGGGGGTTTTTTGTTGGCCCTGATAGTTGCTGGGGGTTATTGCCAGCCTTGACATTTGCTGGGGGTTATTGCAGGCCCTGACTTTTGCTGGGAGTTATTGCTGGCCCTGACCTTTGCTGGCGGTTATTGCTGGCCCTGGCACATGCTGGGGGTTCTTGTTGGCCCTGATATTTGCTGGGGGTTATTGCTGGCCCTGGCACATGCTGGGGGTTCTTGTTGGCCCTGATATTTGCTGGGGGTTATTGCTGGCCCTGGCACATGCTGGGTATTTACATAGCTGGCTCTAACATCAGGAGTGGGGCTTATTTTACTACTACTCCTCCGGAGGGCGGCTCAAATAGCACACTACATTTTCCTTCCCAATGCTTTCAAGGCATCCTTACTTTTTTTTTCTTCAACCATTGGCAGCTCTGGTTATTTTTACTCCTATTGACACCGGTTCTAGAGCTGACAGCTTGCTGACCGGCAATGTAATAGACACGGCAACATACTTCTGACCCCTGCGCTCTATATGCTCAGCGTGCTAATACCGGGCCCCAGCCTGTGCGCTTACTGGGCCCCAGCCTGTGCTCTTACTACGCTGTCAATGGTTTTATACATCATTGAATCATTCATTTTATCAATATATTATCTCTGCTTTTAATATAACAGGGGGTTCAGGGGCGGGGACTGAACTCCCCCACCTTTACTCCCAGCACCAACACAGCACCGCCCCCAAAAAAGGGATGTGGTTAGTGATGGTGGTTACGGGGTCTGAATCCCGCATAGGAGGAAGTGAAGTCCTCACCCGCTGTCAAAAAATGCGCACAATTAATATGCAATTGACTCCAAACTGCGTGGCTTTGCTGCGGACAACCGCCTGACCTCGGAGCAGCTTTGTCTTGAGAGCCTCTTCAAACACCCCGACAAATGAAGGATCTGTTCGTGAATCCACATGTTCACCTGCCGAGCCGAACTTTGTGCCGCAGGACACACCTCGGAAAGTGGGAAAGTCGGGTAGGGTTCAATATTGAGTTGGCCCCGCCCTTTCCACGCACATGACCTTTAATGGCCTCCCAGTCTTAGTCCGTAGGGTTCAATATTGAGTTGGCCCCGCCCTTTCCACGCACATGACCTTTAATGGCCTCCCAGTCTTAGTCCGTAGGGTTCAATATTGAGTTGGCCCCGCCCTTTCCACGCACATGACCTTTAATGGCCTCCCAGTCTTAGTCCGTAGGGTTCAATATTGAGTTGGCCCCGCCCTTTCCACGCACATGACCTTTAATGGCCTCCCAGTCTTAGTCCGTAGGGTTCAATATTGAGTTGGCCCCACCGTTTTCCACACACATGACCTTTAATGGCCCCCCAGTCTTAGTCCGTAGGGTTCAATATTGAGTTGGGCCGGCCTTTCCACACACATGACCTTTAATGGCCCCCTCCCAGTCTTAGTCCGTAGGGTTCAATATTGAGTTGGCCCCACCCTTTCCACACACATGAACTTTAATGGCCCCCCAGTCTTGGTCTGTAGGGTTCAATATTGAGTTGGCCCCGCCCTTTGCAGCTATAACAGCTTCAACTCTTCTGGGAAGGCCCCCCACAAGGTTTAGGAGGGTGTCTATGGGAAGGTTGGACCATTCTTCCAGAAGCACATTTGTCAGGTCAGGCACTGATGTCGGGGGAGGAGGCCTGGCTCACAGTCTCCGCTCTAATTCATCCCAAAGGTGTTCTATGGGGTTGAGGTCAGGACTCTGTGCAGGACAGTCAAGTTCCTCCACCCCAAACTGGCTCCTCCATGTCTTTATGGACCTTGCTTTGTGCACTGGGGGGCAGTCATGTTGGAACAGGAAGGGGCCATCCGCAAACTCCTCCCACAAAGTTGGGGGCATGAAATTGTCCAAAATGTTGCCTTAAGAGTTCCCTTCACTGGAACTAGGGGGCCAAGCCCAACCCCTAAAAACAGCCCCCCACCATAATCCCCCCTCCACCAAACTTTACACTTGGCACAGTGCAGTCAGGCAAGTACCGTTCTCCTGGCAACCGGCAAACCCAGACACGTCCATCGGATTGCCAGACAGAGAAGCGTGATTCGTCACTCCAGAGAACACGCCTTCACTGCTCTAGGGTCCAGTGGCGGTGTGCTTTACACCACGGCATCCAACACTTTGCATTGCACTTGGTGATGGAAGGCTTGGATGCAGCTGCTCGGCCATGGAAACCCATTCCATGAAGCTCTCTCTACGCACTGTTGTTGGGCTCATCTGAAGGCCACACCAAGTTTGGAGGTCTTTAGCTATTGACTCTGCAGACAGTTGGCGACTTCTTCGCACTGTGCGCTTCAGCATGCACTGACCCCGCCCTGTCATGTGACGTGGCCTACCACTTGGTGGCTGAGTGGCTGTTGTTCCCAGTGGCTTCCACTTTGTGTTATAATCCCACTAACAGTTGAGCGTGGAATATTTAGTAGCCAGGAAATGTCACGGATGGACTTATTGCCCAGGTGGCCACCTATCACGGGACCACGCTTGGAGTCACTGAGCTCCTGAGAGCAACCCATTCTTTCACCAATGTTTGTAGAAGCCGTCTGCATGCCTAGGGGCTTGATTGTATACACCTGTGTCCATGGAGGGGATTGGAGCACCTGAATCACATGATATGGAGGGGGATTGGAACACCTGAATCACATGATTGGGAGGGGGATTGGAGCACCTGAATCACATGATATGGAGGGGATTGGAACACCTGAATCACATGATATGGAGGGCATTGGAACACCTGAATCACATGATATGGAGGGGATTGGAACACCGGAATCACATGATATGGAGGGGATTGGAACACCTGAATCACATGATATGGAGGTGATTGGAACACCTAAATCACATGATATGGAGGGGATTGGAACACCTAAATCACATGATATGGAGGGGATTGGGACACCTGAATCACATGATTGGGAGGGGATTGGAACACCGGAATCACATGATTGGGAGGGGATTGGGACACCTTAATCACATGATTGGGAGGGGGGATTGGAACACCTGAATCACATGATATGGAGGGGATTGGGACACCTGAATCACGTGATTGGGAGGGGATTGGAACACCTGAATCACATGATATGGAGGGGATTGGGACACCTGAATCACATGATTGGGAGGGGATTGGAACACCTGAATCACATGATATGGAGGGGATTGGAACACCTGAATCACATGATAAGGAGGGGATTGGAACACCTGAATCACGTGATTGGGAGGGGATTGGAACACCTGAATCACATGATTGGGAGAGGATTGGAACACCTGAATCACATGATATGGAGGGGATTGGAACACCTGAATCACATGATTGGGATGGCGGGCCCAATACATTTGGCAATATAGTGTGTGTTTGGAGGGAACCGAGGACTGATGACTTTTCGGAATGCTGTCTTCCTGGCTATCATGATCCATGACTGATCTAGAAGTATGCAGAGAAGGGCATCTGATGTTTTCTTGTTCCACCTCAGCGGTTCAGAAAGCAGAGGTTCAGGCATGACAGCCAGGCAATTCACATGTTCTATAGGAGGTCCACAATGGCGGCTAATATGTATAATAGAAGGTCTATGTTAAAGCTGCAGCCAGGTGTAGTTGAAATCACTGAACCCCCCCCAGTATGCAAAATCTACTCTGGGGCCCCCACCGCCCTGAAATGATATAACATGACTGGAGCAGGGGCAGGATATCCTCTTCCAGTGGGGTGGACACTGCTGCGAGGGGGAGGGACATCAGTGTCAGAGCCGGCCCCTGAGGAATTTGCTATCGCTGGACCTTTACTGTCGGGGGGATCTATATATAATAGAGGGGGTTCAAATGACCCGGATCCCCCTGCAGGTGTCGCCCCGATGATAGGCGTGACAGTTTTCGGTGGAATCCTTTCCATCCATGGAGTTAAAAAAAAAAAAAAAGACCAGAAAACTAAGAAAAAAGGAAATAACCCCCCCTGCCCCCCCCCCCCCAAAAAAAAAAAAACACGTTCACAACGTAATTTATTTCCCACCCCCCCCCTCCCATCATCATGCTAATAAAATGTATAAATAAAATCTGTTTTCATCACATATCTTCCACACGGTGACCTGGATCTGTCTTGTCTTTGCAGCGGATGACGCGGCGGATGTGGGGCGCACCGATGATGTAGCAGCTAAAGAAGACGGCGCAGACGGCCTCCCTGTGCACAACGTGGTACGTAGAGAGGGAAGATGTCATTACAGACCGAGAAATGTGCTGTGGAGTCTCTGGGGACAGTGCAGGAGCTTTGTGTCATCATTCATGGAGGAACAATCAGCTCCCGCGCCTCTCCTCTTCCCCCTTACTTCCATTTGTTTGGCGCAAGCAGTGCACATTTGTTGTGGTCCTGAACACTGCCCTGTGTACACTACAAGTCCCGTAGTCCCTGGTATCTAGACCATAGTTCATATTCTATAGTCCACCATACTATTGTCTGTAGCCCATAGTCCAGAGTACCTGATCATAGCCCATAGCCCATAGTAACCAGTCATAGCCCATAGTCCATAGCCCATAGTAACCAGTCATTGCCCATAGTAACCAGTCATAGCCCATAGTACCATAGTCCATAGTAACCAGTCATAGCCCATAGTAACCAGTCATAGCCCAGAGTACCATAGTCCATAGCCCATAGTAAACCAGTCATAGCCCATAGTAACCATCATAGCCCATAGTAACCAGTCATAGCCCATAGTAACCAGTCATAGCCCATAGTCCCATAGCCCATAGTAACCAGTCATAGCCCATAGTCCCCCCATAGTCCATAGCCCATAGTAACCAGGCATAGCCCATAGTCCCATAGTCCATAGCCCATAGTAACCAGTCATAGCCCATAGTCCAGAGTACCTAATCATAGTCCATAGTCCATAGTAACCAGTCATAGCCCATAGTCCCATAGTCCATAGCCATAGTAGTAACCAGTCATAGCCCATAGTCTCATAGTCCATTGTACTTAGTATATAGTCCCATTAATTCATAGTTTGTAGCTCATAGTTCATAGTCCATAAATCAATAGTCCCATAGTCCCTATAGTCTTGGTACTATAGTCTGTAGCCCATAGTCCAGAGTATCTAGTCATAGTCCTATAGTATATAGTCCCATAATTCATAGTCTATAGCCCATAGTCCATAGTAACCAGTCATAGTCCCATAGTTCATAGTCTGTAGGTCATAGTTCATAGTCCCATACTCTATAGTCCCATACTCCATAGTCCCATAGTTTCATGGTCTGTAGGTCATCGTTCATAGTCCCATACTCCATAGTCCCATAGTTCATGTGTAACAGAACCGGACCCCGACTGCGCTCGGGTATTTCCATTAGACTCCCCCTGTCCGAACACAGATCCACGGACCCCACCGCTGACCAAACAAGACGAGACAGCACCAGACTTGTTTTAAAACAGGAAGTGGACTGCTTTATTTTAACACAGATACAAGATATATACACAGGGCGGGGCAATACCCCCAGTAACAGGAAACACATCAGCAGGCCGTCCCATCAGGGGGAAGGGCTGCCGGAAACACCCCCCACCAACCCAGTACAAACACATATATCCCATAATAGTTTGCTCCCAAACAAGACACACAATAGAACAATGGGATGCAACCACATGACACCAAACAATCCACAACCCCCCACCCCAACATTAGAACATTCCACCCTGTACCCCTAACAGGCACAGGGGGACTTACACATAAGAGGGATATGGGGGGCTGAGACAGGGGTCTCCCCACCTCTCCAAAGGGGGCTGTGTTCCATGGGCCCCCCACCCAAAGTCACTCCCATCACATCATGGTCTGTAGGTCATAGTCTATAGTCCATAGTTCAGGGACTGGTAGGATCAGCACATGTAAGGACCGGTAAGTGGTGATATGGAATATGACATTTTTTGTTTTTGGGTTTAGACTGTAAATTGCCCCTTTATATCAGTGGTTGTGGCTATGACAGGTTCTCTTTATTGCAGTAATAAATGCCATGTGTACTGTATTTGTATTATTTCTTGCCCTCAGTGACCCCTGTGTGTATGCTGTTAGCGGTGACCCCTGTGTGTACGCTCTGTGCGGTGACCCCTGTGTGTACGCTCCGTGCGGTGACCCCTGTGTGTACGCTCCGTGCGGTGACCCCTGTGTGTACGCTGTTAGCGGTGACCCCTGTGTGTACGCTCTGTGCGGTGACCCCTGTGTGTACGCTCCGTGCGGTGACCCCTGTGTGTACGCTCTGTGCGGTGACCCCTGTGTGTACGCTCTGTGCGGTGACCCCTAAGTGTACGCTCCATGCGGTGACCCCTGTGTGTACGCTCCGTGCGGTGACTCCTGTGTGTACGCTGTTAGCGGTGACCCCTGTGTGTACGCTGTGTGCGGTGACCCCTGTGTGTACGCTCTGTGTGGTGACCCCTGTGTGTACGCTGTGTGCGGTGACCCCTGTGTGTACGCTCTGTGCGGTGACCCCTGTGTGTACGCTGTTAGCGGTGACCCCTGTGTGTACGCTGTGTGCGGTGACCCCTGTGTGTACGCTCTGTGTGGTGACCCCTGTGTGTACGCTGTTAGCGGTGACCCCTGTGTGTACGCTCTGTGCGGTGACCCCAGTGTGTACGCTCCGTGCAGTGACCCCTGTGTGTACGCTCTGTGTGGTGACCCCTGTGTGTACGCTCTGTGCGGTGACCCCTGTGTGTACGCTCCGTGCGGTGACCCCTGTGTGTACGCTCTGTGCGGTGACCCCTGTATGTACGCTCTGTGCGGTGACCCCTGTGTGTACGCTCTGTGCGGTGACCCCTGTGTGTACGCTCTGTGCGGTGACCCCTGTGTGTACGCTCCGTGCGGTGACCCCTGTGTGTACGCTGTGTGTGCGGTGACCCCTGTGTGTATGCTGTGTGCGGTGACCCCTGTGTGTACGCTCTGTGCGGTGACCCCTGTGTGTACGCTCCGTGCGGTGACCCCTGTGTGTACGCTGTGTGCGGTGACCCCTGTGTGTACGCTCTGTGCGGTGACCCCTGTGTGTACGCTCCGTGCGGTGACCCCTGTGTGTACGCTCTGTGCGGTGACCCCTGTGTGTACGCTCCGTGCGGTGACCCCTGTGTGTACGCTCTGTGCGGTGACCCCTGTGTGTACGCTCCGTGCGGTGACCCCTGTGTGTACGCTCCGTGCGGTGACCCCTGTGTGTACGCTCCGTGCGGTGACCCCTGTGTGTACATTCTGTGCGGTGACCCCTGTGTGTACGCTCTGTGCGGTGACCCCTGTGTGTACGCTCCGTGCGGTGACCCCCCTGTGTGTACGCTGTGTGTGGTGACCCCTGTGTGTACGCTCTGTGCGGTGACCCCTGTGTGTACGCTCTGTGTGCGGTGACCCCTGTGTGTACGCTCCGTGCGGTGACCCCTGTGTGTACGCTCTGTGCGGTGACCCCTGTGTGTACGCTCTGTGTGGTGACCCCTGTGTGTACGCTGTGTGCGGTGACCCCTGTGTGTACGCTCCGTGCGGTGACCCCTGTGTGTACGCTCTGTGCGGTGACCCCTGTGTGTACGCTCTGTGCGGTGACCCCTGTGTGTATGTTGCTATTAATGACCAATCCCCCATTCTCTGTCACAGAAGGTGGAGGCTCCGGACGAGGAGATCGGTGACACCATCAGCAAGCTGGATGCTGAACAGATGCGCTCCCTGCTGGATTAATAAGGTGATCAGACATGGACACACAGGCACAGGGAGGACATGCAAACTCCATGCAGCTAATGTCCCTGGGTGGAATTTTGAACCAGGAACCCCAGTTCTGCAAGGCAGATGTGCTGCCCGCTACACCACACTTACCCTGCATTGTCCCTCATATATTCCAATATATGGGCAGTACGGGGAGGGGCCACCCAGGGCTCAGGTGTGTGGATGCCTAACTGTGCCCCTCCCCCTCTCAGGGTCACGCCCCATCATCTTCTACAATTGGGATTCCTCTCTCCCAGCTGCCACCGTCCCTGCGCAACTCCAGGTCCACCAATCACATTTTCACCTGGAGCCTCTCTGCCCCCTGCTGGTCCCCTCAACAGGTCACAGGTCAGAAGGCAAGGTGTGATAGGTAGGGTGGGGCTCGAAAACACTGGGTCAGCTACCCCCCTCCCCCCATGAAAACCCTGCACCTGGGGGCCTCTTGCCCTCTCCACATGAAACTCCTGCACCTGGGGGGAAGCAGCCTCTCCTGCCCCCCCCCACACACATGAATACACTGCTGCCCCTCCTGTCCCCCCCCCCCCCCACACACACATGAATACACTGCTGCCCCTCCTGTCCCCCCCCCCCCCACACACATGAATACACTGCTGCCCCCTCCTGTCCCCCCCCCCCCCACA